TCTAGAATTTATTTATTCATAAATAAATTCTAGATTATTGTGATAATGATTAGCTGCAAATCTGAATTTTATCTGAATTAAAGTTCACCAGCCACTGAAAGCCCCATGCTTTAGCAATAGTGAGGTCATTTTCAAGCTCAAATCTCCTTCGAAACAATCAGAGAGTGTTGGCTTTTTATCAAAACAAGAATAAATGGTAGTATCATAAGCAAACAATGTCACCTTAGATATGTGAGTTTCTGGGAGATTGTTAATGTAAATTGAAAAAAGTTTAAGGCCAAAGATAGAATTTTAAGGAACCCCTGAAATAACAGGAAATGAAGACAACTTATATACTATGATTGTCAAGGAAGGATTCAATAATCTTAGATGTTACCTTATAGATATTACCTTAGATGATACACCATGAGAGGAGAGCTTATGGAGAAGACTAGTATGCCAAACTTTATTTTTCAAACTTTCGAGTTTGATCCCTACCACTTCCCTGGTAGAACCACGCTCAACTTATTTCTCCACGCAGTGGCTTTTTTCGTCAAGGTTAGTGTTTTGGAGTTATAGAGTTGAGAGCAGGTTGCAACCACAATTGAGTAGCCTCCTCATCTGTAGTGGCCTTCTCGGCTTTGGGGAGGTGAATAACAATATCATTAACTGTTGGGATTACAACATTTATATGCAATGAGAAAAACAGCACAAAAACTAGTTAATGGAGCTGGCTAACAGAGAAATTTTAACTGAAAAAATTATTGAAGCGGTTAAGAACCTAAACAGCAAGATTAGAATACCAATTATTTTCCTTTATTTTAAAACCGCCTGCTTAAAGCTTTTATTTTAACGGACACTAAAATTCTCTGTTAGTTTATCGGAGAGAAGTGAATACGGCTGCAGAGCAACCAAATTTGATTGGCAAGAATTGCAAAGCAAACTTAATAATGAAATATGTAAATACTTTCAAAAACAGAAAGTTAAAATTATTAAGTTAGCAACTGTTTTTGATTACTTAAAAAATAAAATAAATAAAATTAAATACAAATAGTTTTGAGATCATTAAAATCTTTAGCTGACAGTATAGAAAAAAACGCAAAAACATTATTGAGTAAGTAAAAATACAGTATGATAAAAAATACTTTTTGATTGGCGGAATAAACGTAATTTAAGATCATATTTTTTATTTGTTTTTAAATCAGAAAAAAAAAATTAGTTAAGGGTTAATATTTTTATGAATGAATTGAATTTTTTTGAGTAAAATGAATTTGAAATAATAACTAGAAATGTTGACATTTCTTCCGAACAATAAATCATAATCGCAATCATAAGTCCGAACAATAAATATAAAATCATAATTGAAATCATAACTACTAAAGCAAAATAACTTTTTTCTTATTTACTTTTGTTTGTAGTTTAACCAACACAATGGTTTGAGATAATTAAAGGACAAAATGTTGTAATAGTTTTTATTTTAAGTATTAAAATTGACTAAATAAAAAGTATAAAAAAATTAAATAAAAAGTATAAAAATTAAATGGAGGCAGACAAAATACAGCAATTATTTTATTTAATAAGAAATTATCAACTGAATCACCTGCAAAAAAATTCTCTAAGAAAAATTATTATCTTATCATGTTATTTACCAAAAACAAATAATAATTTTTAAACAAAAATTATTTCTATTATTATAATTTGATATTTCTATTAGTTCTTAATAACATGTCTGTTTTTTAATATTTTTTATTTCAGCCAATCCATAACTATATATATATATATATATATATATATATATATATATATATATATATATATAGTCTTGCATGTCTCTTGCGTAGCATCAAAAAATATTTCCCATAAACTGTAGTTTTAAAGAGCGCGTTAATAAACCAGACCAGAAAAAATTTTAAAAATTAAATTTTTTTTTTTAATTGATAGACTGCCTGGCCAAACCAAACCCTCAGTCGATGTAGCAGCACTCTCTTGCGAGTCAGGCTATTTGTCAGTCGTTGTAGCAGCACTCCCTTGCGAGTCAGGCTATTTGTCAGTCGATGTAGCAGCATTCCCTTGCGAGTCAGGCTATTTGTCAGTCGATGTAGCAGCACTCCGTTGCGAGTCAGGCTATTTGTCAGTCGATGTAGCAGCACTCCGTTGCGAGTCAGGCTATTTGTCAGTCGATGTAGCAGCACTCTGTTGCGAGTCAGGCTATAAGATAGTCGATGTAGCAACATTTACGCATGTTTAAAAAATGTTTTTTATTAAATCAATAACAAAAACACCACTAATTAAAAAAAACTTTCTAGTCGTTATAATTGCGGTTTTTTAAAAATTTTTTAAAAAACAATTAAATTTAATGTACTTCCGCATAAATTAATTGCTTTGACATTTCGATGACAATCAAAAACAGCTTAAGAGACGAGGTAATTAAAATTGTAGTCGTAAGAGACTTTTTTTACATTAAAATGCTCTTAAAGCGACACTATATGAGTATATATATATATATATATATATATATATATATATATATATATATATATATATATATATATATATATATATATATATATATATATCAGCAACGTATCCAGGCCGATTTTGATACCGGTATACCGGTATGGGCCCCCAAATTTCAGCCCAAACTCAATTTAAAACACTTTTATATTAGCATTTGTTACAATTACATAAATATCAACATTTGAAAAACGACTTTTAAAGTACATTATAAGTGTATTTTAAAAGTCGCATTTAAAATACATTATAAATGTATTTTAAAAGTAAAGTATTTTAAAACTTAAAATACATTGTAAATGTATTTTAAGCCAACCAAAATGCTTAATTCGAATTCACGTTGATGAAATATAGAATATGTTGTAATTGGATTAAATGTAAAACGCACGTTTTGATTGGATTAAAATATGAAACGCTTAGCATTTTTAAATAACATTTTAAAATACATTAATATGAGTTTCTCCTCCGCTTACGTTTTCATAACATAATTTTCGAAGCAATTAAACTAGATGAGTTTTAAACTTTTTCATTTCAAACAACAGTAAAAATTGTTTGCAAAATACTTTAAATAATAAAACGAATGAAATTTTTTAAAACATAAAATTAAAATAACATTTATTTAAATAATTATAATAACATTTTAATATTCGCGCCAAAAAACTTTATTGGAATAGTAAGAGTAGAACTAGAAAAAAAAGTTATGAATTTTTGAATGAATTAAAATTTCGAATGAATTTACCTTGTTTTAAATACGCTATGTAATAAAGTTTATATCAAAGAGTCATACAAATATTGTTTATTAAACGTTATAGTTATTGTTTGTTTATGAAATCATACTCTTTTTATTTCTAGTTGATAATATTTAATATTTGGAATTTAATTATTTAATAATTAGCATTAATTTATAAATAGTAAGTGTATGGAGCAAGTAAATGAAAAGTAGCGATTAGCGATAAATCATTATATATTATATACGAAGAATTGTATTTAAATTTGAGTAAAAAAAAAAAAAAAAAAGATAGGCAGAACTTTTAGACCGGTATGCCCAAATTATTCCTGGATACGTCACTGTATATATATATATATATATATATATATATATATATATATATATATATATATATATATATATATATATATATATATATATATATATATATATATATATATATATATATATATATATATATATATATATATATATATATAACCCTCCGAAATAGGGTTGGCATTCGGCAACGCCAACCTTACTGCTGACCTAAAAGTGTTTGAGGTCGGAAAAAATTGCTGACCTTGTTTCTATCTTTTATTGTAAGACTTTTGAATCAAATTTTTTAGCCAGCCTGTTGCCAACCTCTAAAAGATTGAAGTTGGCAAATTATTGCCGACCTCGTTTTATCTAATTCCGAGGGTTGATATATATATATATATATATATAAATATATATATATATATATATATATATATATATATATATATATATATATATATATATATATATATATATATACATATATATATATATATACAAAATATATAATAATAGAATAATAACACAAGAATATAATTTTGTGTAAACAAGATAAAAAATTATTGCCGACCTCATTTTATCTAATTCCGAGGCTTGATATATATATATATATATACATATATATATATATATATATATATATATATATATATATATATATATATATATACAAAATATATAATAATAGAATAATAACACAAGAATATAATTTTGTGTAAACAAGATAAAAAATTAAAAAAAAAAGTAAAGTGTTTAGAGAATTATAGAGTATGTTTTACTAATTACATGTTATTAGTTTTACTAATTGCCTAGTATGTTAATAGGAACATATGTTCAAATTAACGCAGTTAAAATTTTTAAATAATCTATATTTCATCAAAATATCATGGTAAAAAAAAAATGTGTTTTTTGTAAGTTTTTATTATTGAAAGTATTTTGAAAAAATGTTTCTGAGCAAAATCAAATACCATTTATAGAAATAAAATTTCAGAAACATATAGAAATAAATTTCAGAAATACAGAAAATTAAATTGCAAAAATATAGTAAAATTAAATTTCAGAATTATAGGAAAATCAAATCATAACTAAATAAATGCAATAAAAATTCAAATTGTCATTGAAAGTTTGGGAAGTAAATTCAAAATAGGTAAGTAGGAAACATTGTATAACTAAACAGAAAAATCTAGTAATATATAATTGTGTCTTATGAAAAATGTAATGCCATAGTTTTGCATTTAATCTCTCATTAAAACTCATAACTCAGTATATTATTAACTAGCCATTACATTAAATTAGTCATTATATTAAAGGATTAGCGTAAAGTAAAAAAGTTGAAAAAAAAAAAAAAAAGTTACTAAGTGTCATGTAACACTTTTTAAAACGTGTAGGAACACTCAAACTAACTAGGGGTATTTAAACTGCTGAGTTACTTTAGTACAAAAATTATATTAAGTCAAAAATAAAAGTAATATAGACTAACCTTTAACTCATCACCTCTCTCTACACTGACAATTAGATTTAAAGGGATCCATAAAGACAAATCCTAGAAGATGATTCTAATGATGACAATTATAAACATTAATAATTCAATTACTAATATTATCAATGATTAATAATAATAAAGAAACTATAAATATCTTTACAGAGGTTTTTGCAAGATTGGTTGAACTTGAGCTTGTACAAAGAACAACTAAGCGAAAATCTGTTAAATAAATACGTCCAAGACCCCTATGGCCACTAATTTCCACCAAAACATCATCAATAACCAGCTCAACATGTTCAAAGTCACCTAAATATAAGTTTGCAATTTTCAGAGTGAATAAAAATCTTAGAGCAATATATTTTTGAACACTTTAGTTAACTTGTTTCTTAACACAGTGGCCTTGTTTCTTTAGTTAACTTGTTTCTTAACACAGTGGCCTTGTTTCTTTAGTTAACTTGTTTCTTAACACAGTGGCCTTGTTTCTTTAGTTAACTTGTTTCTTAACACAGTGGCCTTGTTTCTTTAGTTAACTTGTTTCTTAACACAGTGGCCTTGTTTCTTTAGTTAACTTGTTTCTTAACACAGTGGCCTTGTTTCTTTAGTTAACTTGTTTCTTAACACAGTGGCCTTGTTTCTTTAGTTAACTTGTTTCTTAACACAGTGGCCTTGTTTCTTTAGTTAACTTGTTTCTTAACACAGTGGCCTTGTTTCTTTAGTTAACTTGTTTCTTAACACAGTGGCCTTGTTTCTTTAGTTAACTTGTTTCTTAACACAGTGGCCTTGTTTCTTTAGTTAACTTGTTTCTTAACACAGTGGCCTTGTTTCTTTAGTTAACTTGTTTCTTAACACAGTGGCCTTGTTTCTTTAGTTAACTTGTTTCTTAACACAGTGGCCTTGTTTCTTTAGTTAACTTGTTTCTTAACACAGTGGCCTTGTTTCTTTAGTTAACTTGTTTCTTAACACAGTGGCCTTGTTTCTTTAGTTAACTTGTTTCTTAACACAGTGGCCTTGTTTCTTCAGAGTTATAAACTTTATAACATTAAATATATATATACATAAAAAAACCCTAATATCAACAATAATGTCCCTGAACCACCTCAATTTTTCTTAACACTATAAGATATGCTCACTCTTTTATTAAAATCACCACTTTTTCCACACACTCATTATCTTTAATAACCCATTGTTCTTTTGTATTAATCAAATATTTCTAAAAAGCTTTTTTATATTTTTTTTATGCATACTTCGTTCTAATTTGATTTCTGTTCTTGGGGGTCATCCATAAAGGATGTCATTCAGAATTTAAATACTAGCCAGAAGTAAAAGTTTGTTGGTTCCTTTCTACAATGATTTTCATTGAACATAAGGCGCTATAATGTTCTAAAAAATCACTGCACACAAGAACCAACATTCTTCTACTTCTTACCATTGGTTAAACTTAGCGTGACGCCCTTTATGGATGATCCCTTGCTTGAATTTTTTATTGAAAGTGATTAACTGCATTATCACTTAATAATTTTTAAACAAAAATAAAAATTTTTTCTGCATTTACTTAAAAAGATCTTTTTTATTTACTTCGAATTTTCCACCACATCATCACATCATCACATCATATCACAAATATTTGTGCTGTGCATCACTTGTCCCAAATATTAATGAATTATGCTGATGTTATTCACCTATTAAAACCTTTGAAGATAGTCTTGACACTATTAAACTTACATCCTGACTCATAACTTACTTTCTGTTGATTCTTTTTTTGTAAACAATGTATCACTAACTGCCATTCCTACAACATCTGAAAACTTTAACAATATTTAATTTTTAAAGGTTTTTTCTGTGTAAAAAGCTAAAAGCTCATGCTTGTGTTTGACTTAATTGAATTTTTACTGCGTTTGTTCAAATTTAGTTTACTTAAGCTTCAGAAATTGTTCAGAAACATGATCTAAGATCTTGCAAAACATTCCCAGACATTTTTAGTTTACTATCAGAAAATTCGTCCTAACCTTTCAAGAATTTCAAATTTTATCAATTTTCCTATTTCAAATTTTAGATTTACAGATTTCAAATTTCATCAATTTTCAAATTTACAGATTTAAAAATTTTAAATTCTATCTATTTTCAAATTTACAGATTTTAAATTTAATAAATTTTCAAACTTCTGATTTTAGATTTACAGATTTCAAACTTCATCAATTTTTAAATTTTGATTTAATTTAATATAACACAAAAAAAAATTTAGGATTAATACTCTGGGGAGGGTGTGTGTGAGAGGTATTGGAAAATTGCCAATCACACCATAAAAAAATGATTATGACCATGTATTCAGAGTTTCAGAAATAAGATTGGAAAAATTTCAGAATTTGGTTACTGCTGTTATTATTATTATTGAGAATGTCTCTTAGCTACCTATCTTTATCAAAAAAACTCCTGAGCACGTTCCTAAAATATGTGATATCTCATCAGACCTCTGGTAGAAGTTACATTTTACACTTTTGGAGAGAGGAAGAGTTTTCTGATAATAAAAAAAAAGATGAGATGCAAGAGATCAAGATGGAAACTGGTTTTAGAACATGTTATAAGCACTGTGGCTAAAAAGATTTTGTCACATTTTTTTGTTTTAATTTTGAAACAAATTCCAACAAGACATTCAAACATTAAAAATCTCAGTGAACAGTAAACTTGCTTTAATAAGTAAAAGTTTAGCTGAAGTAAAATAATTAACCAGGTTTTTTATTCTTGCAGAATTTGAAAATTAAAAATAATTCTTTTTTTAAATACTGTTAACACAAATTTTTTCATTATATAAACTTTAGGAGTTTTAATGCTTAAGTTTGATGTTTCCTTTAATAAAATAATGTTGAAGTTTGATTTCCCCTTCATTAAAATAATGTTAAAGTATGTTCTTTTCATTAAAATAACGTGAAAGTTTGATGTCCCTTGGATAATAAAAATAATATTTTATTAATCCCTTTTTATCCAAGTTTTAACACAAAAAAAACACTTTAACTTAGCTTCTTTAACTTAGCATAAACCATTTGCTCCCTTTAAAAAATTTTTAAAAAAAACCTCTTAAAATTTAATTCTGGAGATTTAATAATTGAATATTATCTGGTAATAGTTTTTAAAGTTTTTATATTAATGGTTGAAAGTAATATCAGTCTAAAATATTTTTTATTTTAGATATTAAAATATAAAATAAGAACAGTTCTTGTGTAAAAAATTACTAGTGAAATGACACTGCAAATAAAACAGTACAGCTGTAACCAGAGTAATCATTAGTTATGTACCAATGGCAAAGACCGATTATGATAATAAAAGGTTTTTAATGTATTTATATAAGGGTATTATAATAATACTAAGGATGTAAAATATATACAAAACATGTATACATCATCAGTGATTCGACCTACTAACCTATCTTATTGGTAACCAGCAACCAGTTAATCAGCATCTGCCAATTAATTTGCCGATGACATAGGTTGATTAATAGGCATTGGCTCATGCATTAGCATTGGCTAATAAGCCAAACAAACTGGTGCATAGACGCACCTTTTATGTGCAAATTGCATAACTAATATTAATATATTAACTTTTTGTATTAATGTTTAAATAAACATTAATACAAATATTAAAAAAATTTAAGGATACTTTAACATGACATTCTAAGCAATAATACTTTGAATACAAAAAATTGAATAAGAGGATATAAAACATTTTACCAGGATATAAAACAGTTTGATTTCCTGACAGCAGTGGTAATTGAAAATTTAATAACTTTTCTCCATCCCGCATTAAAAGTTCATCAATACACCAACGAGTATATGTCTAAACATAAGAAAACAAAAATTTATTAATTTTCATATATCATTTAAATATTAAAATTAAAATACCAATTATATACTTATCCTGCAATTATATACTTATCCTGCAGTATTTTGTATATAAAATGCTAAATACCAGAGTAGTTAAGTAAAAATTTTAGCAATCAGAAAAAATGATACTTTACTTTTATCTCCATACACACACACACACACACACACACACACACACACACACACACACACACACACACGCACACACATTAACAGTTAATAAGTTAACATTAGTTAGTATACATAATAGTTAACTAATATTAGTATACTAATAAGTTAACATTAGTTATATATATATATATATATATATATATATATATATATATATATATATATATATATATATATATATATATATATATATATATATATATATATATATATACACACATATATATATATATATATATATATATATATATATATATATATATATATATATATATATATATATATATATATATATATATATATATACAACTTCATCAAATTCAGGTTGGATAAATGGTTTTGCAAAGTTAATTGAAAAACACTTTAATTAAAAGTTACTTTGGTGCGCCTGCCGACAACATATTCTAGAAAGAGTTTTGTCTTCTGTTTACTTAAAAGTTTTAAGAGAATGTAGATCTCCAAATTATGAGCCATTTAGACACTTTAAATTTGAGGTATGGCCTAAACTTTCATTAACTTCAGATATTTTTAGAAAAATAAAATCGAAGAACCAGTATTAAAAGACCAAACAAGCAGAAGTAATAATTTTTTTTTCTGGTTTACTTAACTGGAAATACTGAAAAATATTAAGAGATAATTATCAAGATGTTATCAACTTGCTTTGCAATTACTCAATTCAAAACAAATAAATATACAGTGGCAGAAACCTGGAATCTTCCATCATGCTAGATGGATGTGTACAACCTTGTATGCATCAAACATTTGCTTTTATTAACCTGGCAGAGTATGAAGAAAGTTTTATAGAGAAATTATCTAGGTTTTGTAAATTTACTATACTATTTTATGTGAAAATATGGCTTACATGCACAAGCACAATTGATGTCTCATTTAATGACTTGGAATTCTAAAAAGAAATGCTTATTTATAAAAAAAAAATGACAATGATGTTGC